TGCAGCTGTTCCATCGTGGGATCGAAACAGGGTGAGTTCGATCGACGCGGTTTTTTTTCTACTTTAGAATCGTATAGGAGAAGAAAGAAATGAGAATCGGTAGAAAAAAGTATATATATATATGTATGTATGTAGATAATCGATGGTAAATTACCTTGCCCTTGCGAAAAACGCTAAGACGCATTCTTCTTTCCAACCAGTTGGCTGCGCGAAACGATCTACAGCTTTGTAATTCGCATTGTAAAGCTCTTTGGCGTAGTCACGAGGGGTAGTGAGTATTTACACCCTGGCAAGAAAGCCTTGAAACTTTATCAACAGGCGAACGCGGATATAAAAATAGAATATATATTTCCTGTCTGTCGGTTCTCATCCTCTAGCATGGGATCGGTCTAGTTTACCAGTGGATGGTTCTGTCACTAGTCGAAGGAAGCGGACCCGCTAAGTTCTCAACATAAATATGTATACCGGGGCTCTGATCTCTGCTGCACGATAAACCGGGAAAAGCACGAAGAATTATTGAAAACAAGCATGCAATTACGTTCTATCTCCGGGCTGCGGAGCCGGTTTACCCGATACACGGCCAATTAATCTCTAATTGACAATGAAAAACGTTAGAAATCGAAGGAAAGCGTTGCGTAACGCTGGCGAAATCGTACAACGGCCAGTGGAAATAAATATCCGCGGCTGCTCTTTGTTTAGCTCTTCGGGATCTACTCGGGGGGGCTAAAAATCCCGGATTAAGATCGGTATGAAACGCGACGAAGGGAAACGGGGAGAAAGAGAACGGATGCGTGCGTGCGTTCCGAAGAAATAAAGCGTGGCGTTCTTTTGATGGAAAATGCATGAACCTTTCTTTTTATTGCAGAGCTAACGAGAGATCAGGCTGCGGGGGCAACAGAACAATCTCGTTAGAATCCAACGAGCAGAAGCAGAACGACAGCAGCGAAGTTCCGCGTAACCAAGCCGCAGCAATCAAGACGTATCGGAGAGGAGCGAGTTATAGGTTGTTACGACGTGGCGAACGTTTATGGGATCGTACGTGTAACGAGCATCGTAAAACGCTGTCCACGTAGGAAATGGTACGTGAATTACGTTGATTCTACTCGATCCCGGGTTTATTTTATACGCGATTGTCGTACGGTCGAAACGGAAACGGAGTTGACGTTTTCTCTCTGCTGATCGGATAGAACGGCTCACCGATAAAACCATATTTTCCAGAAGCTAGTTTGCTCTAGACGGGAAGCTCGAGTCGGAAAGCTCGCGATTAAAAGAAAGAGGATTATTTTTCAAGCGTGGTTCGTTCACCGTGACTAATTGACGAACAGAGCGGGCAACAGCGGTCGTAATAAGTTACCGTGAACGAAATTGCAGATTGCCAGCAAGCGGCGCATTTGCCTACCGATCGAAATGCACGAAGCAAAGGAGGCCGTTGTTGTCGCGTGACGCGTTTCGCGAAGCTATTCATTCTAACCGGAAGGAGATCCTCGCGTGGAAGCAAGAGGATGGATCTCTGAAAACGGCGATTTCTCTCGGCGTCGAGTGGAAACCGCAGAAGCCGATGAACGTCGAGAGAGAGAGAGTCTCGTTATTTCGTGACGAGCCTCGTAACTGTCGTCGGAATAGAGACGAGAAATTTTTTTTCTTCTTCGAGTCGTAAACCGCAGAAAAAA